GCTTGATGACCTGCGTCTAGCCCTGGTTTGTCCATGGATGAAGGAAAGCAGCTATTTCACTGGTTATTCTCTCATCTCCATACACACGGCATGGCTTAAATGGGCCTATGCATTCAAAATTTTAAAAAACACAGTATCAACAACAAAAATATTAAAATTATTTCAAGCCCAAACTTGTGCAATTTCTTTTTCTTTTCCCTTTTTCTCTCACACAGGTCTTGCTATGTAACCCTAGCTCACCTGGTACTCACTTATATAGGTCAGGCTGGTCTCAAATTCAGAGCAATATCCTGCTCAGCCATCAGAGACCACGATTACATGTAGGCATCCTTAAACAACTGTTAATGTTTCCCACACTAATACTAAACTTGCCTTCTGGAGGGACAGGAGAAATAGCTCAGAGCTACAGGACCTGCCTGGTATGCACAGGCCCTGGAGTCAATGCCCAGAATGCAGCAGTTACACAAACCAATATTTTCATTTTGGGAACAAGCTTCCTATCTATGTTGAATACTTAGGGAAGAGGGGGAGGGGAGAAAGGAAACCAGGAATGCTAAGGGCACTGAATAGAAACAACAGAGGCATATGCTTGGTGGCCCAAGTTGATCTGACCCCAGTATTGAGTAACCTTGAGGAAGTGAGACCAGGATTGGAAGTTCAAGGTCAACCCTGGCCAAGTCAAAGCGATGGAGGCCAGACTGGGACATAGGAGACCTTGTCTCAAAAACAATCAAAATAAGAGTATTTAATGAAGTCCTATTAAGTACAGTATCATTTTTATGAAATGTCTTTGAAATGTTCATATTCAAAGTTACTATGGAGGCAGTATGTGTATTAAGAGAAGCCAAAACTGTCGCTGACTAAACTAACTATAAACAAGTTATTTCTCTGAACTTGAGTTTGCTGGTCTGTAAAATGTGTTTTATAGTAATAACTCAAGGTTATTCTGAAATTTAAACAAATTAATATGGGTTATAGTACACAGAATAGTTCTGGGACTGAGTTTCCTAATATTATTATGAAATGATAGCTGGAAAGATGATAACATGGACAAGGCCCTTTTAATAAGCAATGTAATATTCACATCACTTAGAATGAATTCTAGCCTCAAATATTTAACTAATGTCTATTAAGCAGAAATTTGTAGATCAAATCAGAAACATAAAAAAGCAGTTATTTGGAATAAAAGAGACTTCTTAGAAGCAACTAAATATAACGAGAGACTCTGGATCTAGATATATTAAAGGACAATTTAGAAATATTTAAATATGGATATTTAAACATGGCTCAGTGGTAGAACACTCACCTAGCATGTACAAGGCCATGAATTCAATCGTCAGCACCAGAATCAATACAACATAACATTACAAAGAGAAATCAAGCTGGCTCCAGACTAAAAGGAGACTAACAACTAAAACAAGGTAAGAATGACCTGATTAGAGGCGCTTCAGCCATGGCTGAAGACAGGCTGAGTCAGAGGAGGGGGCTGGAGCTACGTAGCAGAGAATGTGTGAATTTCCCAGAAAGATAAAACTCTATACAAAATAACGTATAATATTCAGATAGCTTCTAGTTGTTAATGTAACAACACAGAAACAGAGAAGTGCTAAACGGTGGACGGACAAGAGATTGACAGCTGACCTGTGCGTCAGGGATCCTCTAGAACTTCAACTAACAACCATGCACAAGAAGCACCTGCTACTGCATATGCACCAGCACCAAGTTCAGTAGAATTCTACTTTAACAACCATGCACAAGAAGCATCTGCTACTGCATATACACCAGCACCAAGTTCAGTAGAATTCTACTTTAACAACCATGCACAAGAAGCACCTGCTACTGCATATGCACCAGCACCAAGTTCAGTAGAATTCTACTTTGGGTCTTCATGCTGGTTTCCTAATGGGGTGCTAGCACAACCTGACATACACTTTTCACTGTGTGAAATGGACAAGTTCCCTTTAAAGTTGGATGTAGAACAGGGCTGGGAAGATGGCTCAGTGGGTAAGGGCATAAGGACCCAAGTAAGGACCTGAGTTTGTCTTCAGCACCCATGTTTAACAAAAGGAAAGGATGCATTGGCCTGTTAGAGCAGTGTGAGATGGAGATGGGTGCATCTCAAGAACCAGCTGGCCAGGTGGCCAGCCTAGGTGAAAAGAAGTCCTGGCCAGGGAAGATTCTACACTTGCAGGTACAAAGCATAGGGCAACAGGGGACACCTGATGCCCTGCTCTGGCTTACATAGTATGGCAAGTGCCCACCGACTTATGTGTCTGCCCCATGTATTTGTTAATATGTGTTAACAACCATGTGTGTAAGTATGTGTGTGGGTTAGTACATGCTGTGGTGCTTCTACAGAGGTCAGAGGACAAGTTTTGGGATTCAGCTCTCCTTCTAGCACTTGGGTCCCAGCATTTGAGTCCAGGTCTCCAGCAGAAAGTGCCTTAACCTGATGAGTGATGCACCACCCTCTGGATACAGAATCTCCCAGCTCTGTCAGTCTTCTATGCATTCTATACAGGAATGTGGCTACTGTATCTCATTTGTTTCTTTTAATTTATTTTGGTCCACAGGGGAGTTTTGCTATCTAGCTCTGCTCTGCCTGAAACCTGCTATGTAGACTAAGCCATCTTGAACTCAAAGTAATCTTGTTTCTCTGCCTTTTCAGTTAAGGGTTATAGGCATGTGCGACCACATGTGGCTTTTGTTTTTGAGGTAGTATTTAGGGTTGGCTTTGAATTTGGTATGTAGGGAGGATTAGCTTCAACTTCAGATCCTTCTCCTGAGTGATGGGATTACAGATATGTTCTTCTATCCCAGGTTTACATGGTGCTGGGGATCCAACCCAGGGTTTCAGGCATGCTAGTCAAGCACAGAGCTACAGCCCCAGGTCCCTACTTCCTTTTTATACATTTCTTTTATTAGGGATGAAGCTCAGTGTTAGAGTACTTGCATAGTACACAGAGGGCCTTGGATTTGATCCCTAGCACTACAAACAGAGCAACACTGAAAAAGCCCTACAATTACTTACCTAAATTCTTCTACCTTATAAAAAGGGGAGTGAGGGGGGCTGGAGAGGTAGCTCAGAGGTTAAGAGCATTGGCTGCAGAGGTCCTGAGTTCAATTCCCAGCAACCACATGGTGGCTCACAACCATCTGTAATGAGGGACACATAGGACGTGGATCTGACGCCCTCTTCTGGTGTATCTGAAGACAGCAAAAGTGTACTCACATACATAAAATAAATAACTGAATCATACAAAAAAAAATGTTAGGCAGGGTAGTGCATGCCTTTAATTCCAGTACTATCTATCAGTTCCAGGCCAGCCAAGGCTACACAGTGAGACCCTGTCTTAAGAAAGGAAGGAAGGTAGGTAGGTTAGTAAAATTTTATGTAGTAATTACCCAGTACTGTACATAATTTCTTAAAAAAAAACCTGGAAATGTTTTTTAAGAGGCTTAATGTAGATTAAACATCAGCTTTAAGAGGGACACACAAGACATGGAGATGACACACTGGACAAGAGGCACCTGCTGCCAAGTTTTACCTTAGTTTAATTCCTAGGACTCACACGGTAGGAGAACTGACTCCTGCATGTTGTCCTCTGCCTTCATAGCCACTCATACACACACAAGGGAAAAAAGTGTTCCATTTAATAGTTTCATTGCAAACTCTGAAGACAACACTGTCAGCCTTATTTCATATACAAAAGAGATTAAATCTTGCTATAGTTAAACTAGTATAGATTTAAAGAACTAACTTACATGATGAATCTTAAGTATGTTCTAAAACAAAGACACTCAAGATCAAAGATAAGGGCATGATTTTTATAACCTACATTAAATTTACAGGAAAAGTAGTATAGAAAAATAAATACTGGTTCTACAACATCCTAATTATATCTAACAATGATAACTATACTGTTGAAATTGGGTATAATGGTAAATTTTGTGTCATGTACTTTTACCATAATCAGTAAAAAGTAAGTCTGTGTCCTTCACACACCAGGCATGTACAGAGTGCACTTACATACATGCAGGCAAAACATTCATATACATAAAAGATAAATAATGGGGCTAATGAGATGGCTCATTGGTTAGGAACACTGGCTGCTCCTCCAGAGGAACTGGGTTCAATCCCCAGTACTCACACTGGGACTAACAACTGTCTTTAACTCTAGTTTTAAAGGATTCAATGCCCTTTTCAGGTCTCTATGGGTATTACATGTATGTGGTACACAGACTTACATGCAGGCAAACAAACAACCATACATATAAACTTAAAAAAAAAAAAACCCTTTGTGGAAAAGTAAATCCAGGGCTGGTTCAATGGCTCAGCGGGTAAAGGTGCTACCATATAAGCTTGGGGACCACTGTCTCCCCAGAACTCATGTAAAGGTGGGAGGAGAAAACTGACTCCAAAAAGTTGCCTTCAGACTTCCACACACATGCTGTGGAGTTGGCACCCACAGAGATACACCCCCGCCAAATAAATCTATGCTTTTTATTAAGGCGCGCGCACACACACACACACACACACACACACACACACGAAATACCAATAATCACAGTTCTCCCCAAACATAAGCTTAACTGTTCTTTAACATGGGTATAGTTTTCAAATTCAGACAAAGGACTTGAGTGGGGCATGGTCACATGTCAGTAATGCTAGCACCTGGGAGGTAGAACACTAAAACAGTCACTGAAAGTTGAGACTGACATTAAGCACAGACTAAAAATATAAGATTTACATAGTAGCTGAAGATAACCTTTAACTCTCATCCACCTGTCTCTGTGTGCTAAGATTACAGGTATGTACGACCACGCCCAGTTTATATAGGTAAGTCCTCTACAAACTAAACTACATCCCTAAAACACCAAATAAACCTTCAACTGCGTATGCCTCATATAACCTATACATCCAAATGAGATTGAGTTCAGGAGTTTAAAATATATAGTTACAACAACTGTATTAGTACATCTGCAAAGCACCTTCTCACCTGCGTGGCCTAGTCCTTGGGGACATCATTTCATTGCCAAGTATGTGGTACCGTCTTGCTTCGTGCAGCAACTGGTAACACTCAGGGGAATTCTGGATCAACTGGTCCACCTCAACTGTCTGAACAAAGTAGTTGGGATGCAAAAGAGGAAGCCTGACGTGCGTCAGAAGCTCATGTAACAGTGGTCTTCGCAGATCAACCGCTCGGTAGACCCAGCGCATAACAGCCTCAAAAACCATCTCTTCTTTACCAATAACAAGTTCATCACTACAGATATAATCAATAAGTTCATCTTTGTCAAGCTCGAGAAATTCTTCATGCTGGGACACATCCTCAAAAGTCTGTAACGCAAAGGTCTTGCACTTTGTGAAGAGTGTTTTGAGTGAGTGGGTGTCGGCGAAGCGCTGGATTCCTAAGCAGTTGCAAGGATCAAGCTGTTCTTCTAAGAACTTGGCACAAGCATCACGGAGAACACTAATCTGGAAGAGGCTGGAGGTTTCAAAGAGATACTGGACATTCTCTGTTGTGATCTTCACCTTCCCAGTATATACATACTGCAAAAAACATTCCATAGCTTCAGCTAAAATGCCGTTGATCTCAACCAGCATTTCTCGGCTCTCCCTGTGGTCATTACAGAACATGGCTCTGAAGTAGCTGCTACAGGCTGAGAGGACCGCGCGATGGCATGGGAACTCTCTTCCTTCCACACAGATAATAACATCTGTGAATAAGCGGCTGTCTCGGAACTCATTAAATATCTGAAGGATGTTTTCAGCATGGGATGATCCTGAAGAGAAGTCAAAATACTCATGACCTGTCAGAGATTTGGGGTCCATTTCAAAAACTTTACGCTTAGTTGCTGGGGAATCACGCACCCCAAGATCCTCTCTGTTTAATCTGCGACCCAATATTAGTACCATTGTTACATCAGTTGACTATATAATTGTTGAGAAATGGCTCCTAGAGATCTTCTTTATGTAACTAAAAAACAAAATAAAAATATTTAGACAATTTCATTTTTTTTGTAGATATAAGTCACATGATTAATATGTTCTATAATATACACTAGCTCATTTCAATAAAAACTGATAAAAATTTGCATTTGCAGGATTAGAACATAAGAGTTACTTTGCAATATCCTAAAGTATCTGTATGTACTCTTGGCTGGCCTGCTGGAGTTCTCTATGTAGATCAGACTAGTCTTGACCTCACTAAAGCTCATCTTTATAACTAATGATAACCTTGAACTCTTGAGTGGGTCTCAGCAGGGCCTAAATAACAAGCACATTTAATATTGTGACTCAGTACTACCTATTTATAATGGGAGTTTAGAGAAAACTGTATTGGTTAGATTACTATTGTTATGAGAAACACCATGACCATTGCTGTACTTCAGGAAGAAAAAGGTTTCTTTCTGCTTGAAACTCTCAGGGTTATACTCTGTCACTGAGGAAGTCAGGGAAGGAACTTGAGGCAGAAACTGAGCAGAGAGCATGAAGTAGTATATTGGCTTGTATCCCATGTCATGCCCAGCTGCTTTCTTGTGCAGACCAGGACCACCAGTCCAGGGATGGTGCTACCCCCATGTGGTCTGGGCCCACATATGTCAATCATCAAAAAATTGTCCTTGCAACTCAATGGGAGCATTTTCTCAATTGAAGTTCCTCTTTTCCAAAAAAATTCTTGCTTATGTCAAGTTGAAAAGCAAACAACAAAAACCCCCCAAGCAAAAAACTAAACAGTACAAAAATAGAAGTAATAAACACCTCCTCTGAAAACATGAACTTAAGGACATATAATTTCTCAACTATGCTAAATATAAGGATCCAATATTAATTTTATGAAGGGCTTCATGGACCTAAAAGAACAAAGGCAGCTGCACTAATGAGCCAGTTTATCAGAAAGATACAAAGGCAGATTCCTGGGTCAGCCTGGGACAGATGGAATTTAGATCCAGCCTAAGTGAGAATAGTGATCTCAGAGCTGGATCCCACCCAGGTAGCTTACTGTCTGTGCTTACAAAGGCAGGTAGATTCCTGTTCAAGATTAGCCTGGGACAGAGTGAATTTAGGTCTAGGGGTGATGGGAATGGTAATCTGAGAGCTGGATCTTACCCTGCTAGTTTATTGTCTGTGCTTACAAACAAAGGGAGGCAGATGTCTGAATACATTTGCTATGTTAAAAAATGCACTTGCTGTCTTTTTTTAAGAATCAAGGGGCTATGGTCATAAAATGCTGATTCGTGGGATAATCAAAAGATTAAATTAATATATAAATAAAAGACTGTGCTTTGGTATGAATAGGTGAGCTGTGTGAAGAGCCAGCTCAAGCAGAACACAGAGCTGTCAGGTTGTACCCTCGATTGACTTCAAATTGTTCCTTTGCTGCTCCCAAACACCCCTTTTTCAGGAACCCTCAACCAAGCGAGACTGGTCCTTGGCAGGCAGGAACATTTCAAGTTCAGGATCATCCTCAGCTAGAGAGTGAGTTCTAGGCTAGTTTGGGATACATGAGACCCTGCCTCAAAACAAACATACACACAGAAATAGTTATGACATGGAAAGGAATTCATATTTGAATCTTTAATAGACTAGATTAAAAATTATGGAAATTAGTTAAAAGTGTGTTTCCCAAATCAAACATCCAGAAAATCAAGGATGTATTCTTTGTATCAGTTCACTTAGTTCATTGTCATCATTGCTGTACTTCAGGCTCAGAAAATTCACATAAACAATTAGGACCTTGATTAGTGATACAACTAACTACTGGTGTCGACATGAAAAACTTCTTTAAGCTGGGCATGGCAATGTGTGCCTGCAATCTTAGCCCTGATGAGGCAGAGGCAGGAAGACAGCTGCGGGTCTGAGGCCAGCCTGACTTACAGAGATATACTGTCTAAAAACTCAAAACAAATCAAACCAACCAACCAGCCAACAAAGACAACAAAATTACCACCTTAAGAAAAAAGAACCCTTCACCTACTAGACCTTGTGGGCTCCACACACACATTTGCATTTCCTTGACACCTACAGGAAAACATGAGCCTGCTTTCTGTAGCTAGGGCAATGTATGGTGTATTAGGTAAATTTTGGGACAGAGAGGTTAATTAAAACTTGCTTTCAAAAAAAGAAAAAAAAAAAAACTTGCTTTCTTGCTGGGCAGTAGTGGCAATCATCTTTAACCCCAGCACTTGGGAGGGAGAGGCAGGTGGATCTCTGAGCTTGAGGCCAGCCTGGTCTACAGAACTAGTTCCAAGACAGCCATGCCTACATGAAAACCTTGTCTCAAAAACAAAACAAAACAAACAAAAAACAAAACAGAGCAAAGAACCCCTTGCTCTTTCTGAGCTTTCTTAGAACACTCCATTAACCGGCCTTCCACAACAGAACCAAATACAAATTCTTACTACTTATCACACGATGAATGACTTGCAAAGTCATCTTATGGCATGATATGTTTTCGAAGTTTAACTTTCAGTCTTCCATATATAACTAATCAGCCATTGATTTCCCATTTTTATAAATAAAGTTTTACTTATCTTTTTTTTTTAACAAATAAACTAGCAATAGTTAAAAATGCAACTGCATTTCCTCAGAGTTGGGGTTACAAGTGTTCAATTGTCTTAAGATAGAACTAGTCACTGTTATTCAATATTATTCTGACTAGCACCAACTGATCCCAGGTTAAAGAAATAGTTTAAACTAGTAGCAATGTTTAAATAGCGAATAAATATAAATATACCTTCTCAGCATTTGTTTGACCAAAGCCCCAGGCAAAATTGTGTTATTTAAATTTTCACACCTAAAATAGAGAACAGTAACATATAAGGCAGATGCTATCAGCTCAAGTACATTAGTAATATGCTGAAAACAGTTCTTAGTAAATTATAATTTCTTACTTAAAGCTCACTTTCATACAGATCATTAAAAGTAACTTTCTTAAAGCAAACTAATAATTTTATATTCAATTATATTCAAATTTCTTTTACTACTCGTGGAAATAGTAAGCTAAATTTGACAGTGAGATGAAGAAAAGTATATCCTGGGATAATTATACTTTGAATATTTGAAGAATGCCTACAAACTTAAGTTGCACTCAAATTTGATAAAATTAAGTTACTCTTAAGAGTTGATGTCTTAAATTTAGGCAGACTCAAAGTTGATATCAAAACCAAAACACAACGAAAGTAAACAGTTTATTCACTCTGTACTACATGTAACGATGGAATCAATTTGAGAAAATCTCAAGAGTTAAAAAAAACATCTGTTTTTAATTTAAGCTTTTATTATATACTTTTATATAGAACCTCCAAGCTTATCAAATAATTTTAATACATAATTCTGCTTTACTGAACCTTACAATGTCTACACAACAACTAACTAAGCAATGTCTTTGTGAGCTATTGTGTGTATCTGTGTATGTGTTTATATGTAGGAGATGGAGAAGAATGTTTAAAATAAAACTACACACCAGGATTTAGAGTAGTACATAATATAGCAATTATATTTAACAGCAAGTGGTTGGGCTTGGTTTCTGATCCAGTTATCCATAAAGAGAACTTGTGTATTCTTAAGTTTAGGCAGATTCAAGAGTCCGTATTAAAAACAAATATGAGTAATCAACTTAAAACAAACAAACAAACAAAAAACCCAAAACACAAACAATCACATCTTTATACCCAGAGTAAGCTATGATTAGGACATAAATACTATCTTGTGTATTTCCTTGCTTTCATCAGGCAGTCTAATTTATGTGTACACTTGATGAAGAATATTCCATCTTGGTAAGTGAGGTGATGGTTTGTCCCACCTGTAAGTATTCTTTACCAGTAGTTAGTAAGGCCCAAAGCCATTGAAAGAGAGTATCACTACTGTCTGACACCAGGGTAGCAAATGCTAGATCAAAATTCAATTTTAGACACTGTAGGGTTGGCCAAGACTAGAATCAAACAAGAACTCCAAGAGTAACACTGAAATGGATCCAAATTCTCAGCATTTCTCTAGCAGAAATCTCAAGCAAGAATTGGAATAGAGCTTCTCCATAATTCATTTGCTGTGGAATTAGACCATTGGAAGTAAAAAACAACCCATCCATCGTTTTCTGCAGACTTTTAAGTAATACTTATGCTTTTCTCTTTTTTAAAATTGATATTTGGTTTCTGTTTGAGACAGAGTTTCTATAAGTAGCTCTGGTTATTCTGAAATAACCTGGTGTAAACGAGGCTAGCCTATAACATACAGCAATCTGCCTGCCTTTGGGATTAAAGGTTCCAGATTGACCAGTTGGGTAATCCTGAAGATCTGAATAGATAAAGATCAAGGGACAGACGTGGTCAAAATACAAAGTCTGAAAGAGCTATAAAAGGTGTGATTTACAGTGTGGCAACACAACAAGCTTCATTTTCCTTTAAAAGAATCCTCTACAAAGAGACTACAAACATATTGTATAGACCCACCTAGGGCCTTCCAAAGATGACAACACAAGAAACAAATGACATACATGCTACTGTTATAGTACCTAACAATGTGCCAACCATCCATGTCATCATGTTCCACATTACATGTTATCAAACTGAACCATGGATAAAGCAAAAACAAAAAAGGGCAACTAAAAGACATAGCTTTAAAGATCTAATAATAATGTAAAAGAATGCTAACAAATGCTTCCAATGGACTAAATCTTTTACAAAAGTACTATGCTACACTAAGCAGACTCTTACATATGCATATACATTTTACAAAATTACATAAATATGAAACATATAAAATATAAATTTTACAAAAATATACAAATTTCAGGCATTTTTACTGCCTGAAAAGGCTCTGACTGACTGCAGGTCCCCTCCCCTGCAAATATACTTACTGCATTTTTATTTTAAAATGAAAGTCCTAGCAAAACAAGAGAGTGAACACTTGTAACCCCAGCAGTCCAGAAGCTAGAGGCAGGAGGATCACTGTGAATTAGAGGCTGTTTTAATTTACATGCCAAGTACCAGGCCAGCCAGGACTACAAAACAAGTTCTTGTAAATGAGAGAGAAACAGAATTTTGACAGTTACTTTTTCTGCTACCAAAATTAATTTTGGCTTATTACAACTAAACCAGCTACTGTGTCAATAAATATGCTCTGTGACCTGGAATTCTAAATGGCCTTTTAATATACAAAACCACTTAGAAGTCAATGATTTTTATTTAACATAGTATTGCACCAATTATTCAGAAATAATTTTAGAAACTCCAACAACCTAATCACTTTGGTTTAAGACAAGGTTTTCCTCCCACCCCACCCCCTCTGGAGTTATACACATGAACTCCACCCTTAAGAAGGTTTTCATTCTCTTTATTTTCTATTTTGTTTAGAGTGTTTTAGATCATCTAAGATCAGCCAACTAAGGAGAATTCAGTGGCTAGCATGTGTGAGAAGGCCCTTGGTTCAGTCCTGAGTATCACAGGAGAGTATGTGTGTTTGGGGAAGGGGGTGATGGAAGAGTTACAACTCTTGAAAGTAACAGCTTTCTTTTGTTGCCCCCCCCAAGTCCATGTTGCCCAGGCTGAACTCCTGGATCTACTGAGTATTGCTCTTGCCTCAGTCTCCCAAATAACTGGAACTAGCCACAGGGGATTCACCTTGTTGAGCTTATGGGAGTATCTATAGCATGAAGAACAGAAATGTTAAAAACCATCCAGCTGTCTAGTATCATTGTTGCAGTCCTAACAGAAATGAATTTTTTTTTATAAATGCTTGTGAGGACATTTTATTGACATTTTTCATTACAGAGTCCACACGTACATATTTGATAAAAGAGCTGTCCTAAATTTTCCAGGTAAGAGTAAAGTACATATAAGAATAAATGCTGCAACATATTTGCTAAGTATTTATTTTCCAAAGGCTTGATTCTTAATGAAATGGCAGGAAAATAAGGAAGTTAAAAAACCCCACTGAAAAAGCATTAAGGTTTGAGCAATCTGGACAAAAGCCAGGAAAGTTTAAGATATAACTGATAGCTCATAGAATATTGTTTTCTTCTTCCTGTTTAGAGACTACGTCACAGCCTTTGTTTAAAGAAACTCAATTTATCAAATGGTAGTTTTTATTAAAGTACAGTGCATTGCATTTGTATATATTAAGGTCTACTAAATAACCTTAGTATACTAGAGATTGTGTTCTGATCAGACAGCTCCTTATTCTAATATAATCATCAGCACTTTAATTTTTAATATTAAGAGGCGGCTGGAGTTTAGCAGTGCTCTTGAAGAGGACCCAGGTTTGGTTTCCAGCACCCACAAGGCAGCCCACAACCTAAGCCATCTATAACTCCAGTTCCAGGAGATCTGATGTCCTCTTCTGGCCTTCTTTGGCACCGAACACAAGTGGTGCACACATGCTGGTGAAAACACCCACACAGAATAAACTTTTTAAAGGTATATTAATACTTGCTTCACTGAAGAAGCTCAACTTTTTTGCAATAAAATGTCAAAACCTAACTGCACCATAAGTTTATGAGCTTCGGAAAACCACCCTTAATATCATCTGGCTGGAAATGACTGGGCTTTTGGTGATCTTAATAATGTGCAGTTCTCCAAACACATCTTCTACTCACTTCTCAGAAACTTCCGAATTACCTGGAAGATTAATACACAAAAGTGTGTGCGGCTGGAAATGTCCCCAAAGGGAAAGCTAAGAAAACTCATTCAAAAAAACCCCAAAGAAAAAACTTAGGTGAACAACTTCAAATTATCTTTTTAAAGGTAAAAGTCATGGTTTAAATCTTAAGTGGCAAGGATTAAATAATTAAATCTTAATAAAGAAAAACAAGACACTAAAGCTTATCTTAATGAAGAAAAACAAGACACTAAAGCTTATCAACCACCTAGTGGTTGTGTCAGGCGTCAGCTGAGAACACTAACAGAAAAAACCTGACATGATTAAAATCCGCTAGAGCTGACATTGAGGCTTCCCTTTACTACCTAAGGCTGGACAGAGCAGGCAAGGGCAAGTTCGCAGCAGCTGACTTCTGCGCGCTGTAAGACCGAAGCCTAGCCGCTCCGGTTAGTCCCCGAGCTCCGCGGGGGCACGCCCCCTCCCTACCCATCCCCCTCCGCTGCTCCCTCCCGCGGCGCCCGCGTCCTCCAGGTCACCTTCAGGCGAGGGCGGAACTGCCAGCACGGGCCACCCACCTACCATCCCCCACCAATAAAAACTCGGAACTCGCCGGCCCGGCCCGCCTGCAGCGCCCAATCGTGGCCGCCGGAATGATCTTCGCCTCGGGTGTCCTGGACTTGGGGGCGGGAACATTGGGAACTAAATTAAGAAGCAGAGGCCGGCGGAGAAGGAAGCGGGCGGCCGGGTGGGGGCTCCCCTGGGACAGCCCGAGGCCGCGCTCCCGGTAAACAAAGGCTCAGCCGGGGCGGGTAACGGTCAGGTGACCACGCCCCGCAAGTTTCGCAACCGTGCTGCAGGCTGCTGTGGCCCCAGCACTCCGATCCTTATCGATGCTCGGCGACAGCACCCATGGTCACCCCAAGGAAACGCCAGGTCCGAGGCCAGAGCACTCCGGACGCTTCCGTCCGAAGCGCATCGCTGCCGCGGAACTCTTCCCTGCCGGGTCCCCACGCCCGAGGCCGCATTGGCCTTCTAGCAGGTCGGGCCCCTCGTCTCCCTCCCGCCGGAGCTGGGGATCAGCGCCGCGGTCGCGGGCCGCCTGGAGCGGCCACCCTGGTACCTCTCGGCGCAGGCTGGAAGCGGGAGAGCGGCGACTCTGGCAGTCCCTGTTGCACCCGCGTCTCCTCCGGCTCACAACAAAGGAAACATGTGACCGTCCGGCCAAAACACTTAGCGTCACCCACCCTTGGCCAATGGGGGGGATACATTCCTCTTCCCGGAGCACACTGGGAGATGTAGTTCTTACTGCCGGTGGGGCGTCAGGCCACTTGGATTCCGCTAAGGGCGGAAACCCAACCCCTGGCTGCTAACTCCAAACATTTATTTAAGGTAGAATCAGGTTAAAGGAATGCATCTTGATCAACAGTGGTATGTTGATTGCCTTCAAAGAGCTCTTTACATCCCAAAGCCAAAGCACGAGACCAGGACTTAGCGTACCTTAGAGCTTGGAATAAGGCACTTGGAAATCAGAGGGCCTGAGAGGGGGAATGTACTAGAAGCCTGGTCATAAGTGCAGAAGATGCTTTCTTTATAAATCTGTCAAGGTTGCTGTCAGTGCCTATGTTACCTTTTTTGTCTTAATCAGACGCAGGAGTCGAACAAAAATTGTAACCTTTATTTTCCGAGGCACATGGAATTTTCTTCAAGACATTTTGTTTCTAGGAGATTCCTTTTCAAGGATGATCGTCCTCTGCTCTTGAAAATGTTTGGTTAGTTCTAGCTTTTGATAAAAGTTACCGTGTACTTTTTCTTTCTGCACTTCATTAAGACAGCCGTGCCTCCATTAAAAAGATGTGTTGCCACAAGGTAGAGGCGTGAGGAGAGTTGATGGGCAGGCCGTTTGATGAGCTTTTAGGCCTCCTTCTCATGTCCGATTAACCTTAAACATGCCGACTGAGTACTTCTTGTACGAGGGGAAACCTTTCTTTGACTTTTCTTAAGGCTCATGGCTAGGTCTTCAATAAAACTGCTAGCCACTCTGGCTTGACCAGTTAGTGCTATCAGCTTTGAGGATCTTTACCTTTGGTTGACTCTTGTCAAAGCAAGATTTATTTTTATATTTTCTCCTCTCTTACTACCTTTCCTCCTGTCCCCTTTTCCCCTCCTTTCTCTTCTCCCATCTCCTCCCCAAATTGATTTAAACAAGACACTTGAAGGAAAACTAGGATTATTTTTCTATTATTATTATTATTATTATTATTATTATTATTATTATTTCTCTGTATGTGTGTGTGGCTGAAAGCAGATCCTGGTAAATGTTAGAGGCGTTGGATCCCCCTGGAGCTGCAGTTGGGGGCTGGCTACCTGATGTAGGTGCTGGGAGCCGAACTTTAAATAGAGCAGTAAGTGCTCTTAGCCATTAAGTCAGATCTTCAGCTCTATTTATTTAAATTTGTTTTTTTCTTAAATTTAAATGTGTTTTGCCTATATCTGCGACTGTGTACCATGTTCCTGCATGCAGTGACCATGGAGGCCAGAAGAGGACACCAGATTCCCCAGAACTGGAGTTAGTTACATGAGCCACCATGTAGGATTGCTGGGATTCTAGACTTTATCCTCTCTAAAACAGCCAGTGTTTTTAACAATGGGGCCATCGCTCTAGGTCCTTTATTTAGGTTTCAAAACAGGGTCTTAATATCTCTGAGGCTGACCTCCAACTCACTATTGATAGATTTTTTTTTTTAAAGAGGGGAAGATTTGAGAGATGCTGAGCTCACTCATTTTTCAGGCAAGCATTTTATTAATGCTGCAGCAAGCAGTACAGTAGAGCCCAAAGTTAGAAGCTTAGTTTGTCTACTGTTAAAAATTTCTGAGGAAAGGGGCATCTTACATTGTAAGGAAGCTGGCTTAGTTAATGTGGCCCATGCTATGTACACTCTTTCTATGGGTAGGGATGTCTGGCCTAGTTAATATGTGTAACGACAATGGGGTTGGATATGCTCTGCTTTGATCATTAACTAACTCCAGTTCTGGGGAATCTGGTGCCCTCTTCTGGCCTCCATGGTCACAGCATGCATGAACATGGTACACAGACACAGATACAAATCAAAGCAGCTTGGGGTCTAGTACTTCGAAGGCATGCGCTCTAATGGCAATATAGTGAGAGCAACATTGAACTTCTGATCTTTTGCCTTCTGAAGGCAGTCCTTTGAGTACTCGGATTATGAGTATATGCTACCATGTCCAGCCTGTCACTCCGACAGACAGATGGAACCAGGGTTGCATAAATATTAGTGTAATGTACATTGGTAAATTGATTTGTGCTGTTTGAGCTTACTAAGAAGCTGGCATTGGAAATGGGGTCCTTCCCTCTCAACTCAGACCCAAACGTATTTGTCTAAAGGGTCCTCCAAGGTCCCTTGTCTAGGATGAAGTTCCCTGACTCTGTGGCAGGGAGGGAAGAGAACAGTAAAACAGCCCAAAAGTAAAACATAAAAGTCAAGTGTCCTTGAAAACAGCTAGAAAGTGAGTCATCTCCAAGAGAGGTTAGAGTGGGAAAAAGAAGTTGGAAGTTCAGCCATGAGAAGTTCATTCATGGAAAGAAAGCTCAAGTTGGAATTCCAGCTGACTGCCTCAACTTCCCCAGTTGGTCTCTTCTGGATGTGTGAATTCCCATTTTGATCATATTATTTCTATCTGCTGTTATTCATTCTTATTTTTAGAAAAGGTTTATTTGCTTATGTTTTATGTATAAGGGAAGCCCTCACTTCCTCCAACAAGGCCACACCTCCTAATCCTTTCCAAACAGTTCCACTAACTGGGGACCAAGCATTCAAACGTATGGGTCTATAGGAGCCATTATCATTCAAACTACCACAGAGTTGAAAAGAGTTCATGTTCCTGGCCCCAGTTTCTTGCTCTAGTGACCTGTAAAGGCATGTATGAGGCTCAGCTTGATCCGTTATGCCTGGCACTCTTCTCCTTGAAGATGCCAACAGGTTCTAAGAATTTATCTTGTCCACTCATGGTCTTTCAATTGCTTAGTAGACAGTCACTCATCCCATGAATCCTGCAGCGTTCATGAAGGAGAGAGGCTAAACCTACCCAAAAGTGACCTTCCTTTCTGTTCTTGAAAAATCTCACCAACTTTCTTCAGAAGTTGTGCTGATTAAAGCTTGAGCAACAACCTCCAGACCAAGAGCTCTCATTTTGTCATCTCAGCTGATGCTCTGCTCATCAGAGGCTCTGTTTAGGCATCCACTTCAAGCAACACAACCTCTCTGAAGTTCTCCTAAAGATCTCAGAAAGTTTCCACACTGGATAGCCCAGAGGTCACGCTATGCTATGTTGCTTTTGTTACTCCATTACATAAGCTCAGCGCTTTGATAGTTGTATCCTCTAGTTTGGTGTTTGCGGTTGTGCTTTATAGTCAGAGGCTTGGTTCAAAAGCTAGCTTTGCTTCCTAGTATCCTCGTACTTGAATATGCTAACCTTTCTCAGCCTGTCTTCTCATCTTCAAAATGAGGATAAGTCTAGGAGTGGAGGTTCACACTTGTAATATCAGTTCTGAGGACCTTGAGACAGGAAGATCAGGATTTGAGACCAGCCTAGATGATATAGCAAGAACCTAACCAAACAAAAAAGATATTTAAAATGTTGAAATGTAAAAACATTTAAAATATAAAAATAAAATTAAGATAAAAGTACTTATGTTGTATAATTGTGAGGATTAAATAGGAAAATAAACACATGTGCAGTACATGGGATATAGTGAGTGTTAGACTTCAGCATGCAGCTCAGACAACACCAGACCAAAGGGTTCCAAGGGGGGGAGGGGTTAATCAGGGCAAAGGGCAAGGGTGGGGGGAGAGAAATGGGAGAAGATGGCAGAGAAACGAGAGCAAGGTCAGGGAGTTCTGCCTATTTATATGGATGGTGACGTAGCCTTTTCCCAGGTAAAGGTGAGGTAGTCAGGTGGATTCTGGGAGTGTATGGCAGTTGCCTTGGCAACGATGTAGGGTCGCCTAGGTGTGATGTCACTGGGTTCGGGCCTGATACCAACATACCTCCCTTTTTCTTATTATAAAGAGAAGAAAAAAGGGGAGGAGAAGCTGAAGGTGAAAGGGGAGTTGGGGTGCCATGTCTCTTAAAATACTTCCTGCTGTGTAGGGGCATAGTCCGTTGTGGGGAGCAGCTGACTTTCACCATCGGGGTCCAATCGGTAGATGTGTGTATCAGGTTCCTCTGTGGATAGCGGCTGGTAATTCTGTAACAGGAACAGATTAATAAATTGGTTAGAAATAATAACACCAGGAAGATGGCTAAAAAGGGTGTTACAAAGAGAGTATCTGCTTTTATATGGGTTTTCAAAAATCTCAGAACTGGAGGTCTCATGTTCCCTAAAAATGACATCCTTCTTGGAGGAATTGGTGAAGACCATCTTTTTTATCTGTCAGGACATCTGGCACCCGTTAGTTCTGAAGCACCACAGCTGGAATCCCGTGGGTCTTGTTTATAGAAACGAGTGTCTTGTGGTGTTGGTAGAAGAAATGGTTGGTCCATGAACCTAGCATGTGTATCTGACAAGACCAATATGGGCAGCCTCCATAATCGTCTGGCCAGTTTATATAATAATCTTCTATCTGGGCAAAGAGAAAGCAAGTATAGAGAACATAATATTTAGATGGGACAACAGATACAGGAATGATGGCAATTTGGATTGGTTCTTGGCATCCGGCTATGGAGCAGTTTCCTGACCCTGTTTGGAAAGACTGTTATCTGTGGATGTCTCTTGAACCTTGAACCTCCAGATGTAAGGGCTGACCTGAATAGGAACAAGCAGCAGGGGGAGGACGAGAAACCCATGTCTAGTCCAGTGAAGTTGAGCTCTGCTGTCGGAGTGGAGTCTCATTTTCTGGAATTGAGAACAAGGTGGGTGATTTCGATGTCCTCTGGAGCTTAATAGAGTATGATCCTGTTAGGGTCGACGTGTATGAAGAAGAGTCGATTTTAGATGGAGGGATGAAAGGCTTGAGGAGTCCTTCAAGTTTAGCAGCTGTAGGGGTCACAAGAGTTACCTTAAAAGGACCCTGCCATTTGGGAGAGGGGGTGAGGGCTGATGATCTGGTGGGGAGAGAAGGACTTGGTCTCCAATGTTGACAGGCAGTGGACAGGAGACAGTGTGTGGTTGAGGTAGATGG